GGAGCCCGCGCCGGCTCTCGGGGCTGTGCGGCCGCCCGGACCTCACACACCCGCGGCGTCCCCCGCCCCCTGTAGGGCACGTCCAAGCAGAGGGCGCCTAGCCCCGCGGCCCCCAACCTTGTGTGTCCGGGGAGCCACTTCCAAACAGCAATGGCCAGTCCTGACCCACTGCCCCGCGCGCCCGCCCCCAGCGTCTAGGGCAGCTCTGCCTGTCCTCTCGATCCGACACCCCACGCCTTCATGTCCTCATGATGGCCCCCCTACAGGAGGCAAAAGTGGGTCGTGAACACACTTGAAAAATGGCTTCTCCCTCACAGGAGGGGAACCAGGGACTCTTCCCCTGCGCGCCAGGAGCTGCCCCACACACCTACCCCCTGCCCTACAGTGGGGGTGGGAGCGAGGGGGCACTGTGTCGGGACGGCCCGCAGAGAAGGGTTAGAAACAGGTCCTGGTACGAAAGAGGTTGAGAGAAAAATAGAGGACGTGAAGGCATCCGTCTTCATATTGACACAGGGCGACCGGACTGCCCTCTACGATGGCCACCCTACTCGTGACCCAGGGGTTGAGAAACGCTGATCTAGTCCCGTGGTTCTCAACCTTTTTCCCTACCGGGACCTATTTCCAAGGATCCGTGGCTGCCCCAACCCACACCCCCCTGGCCTTGCCGGTGCCCAACTCCCAGTCCCCTGGCCCCGGGGCCGTGCCGGTGTCTGTCACACCTGACCTGTGACCCCCTGTCCTCCCCAGCCCTGCCAGAGGGCTCCCCGATCTAGTCTGGTGGTTCTCAACCTTTTTCCTACAGGGACCCATTTGCAAGGATCCATGGCCCGTCCCAACCCACACCTCCGTGACTCTGCCTGTGCACGACCCCCAGTTCCCTGATGCCCTTAGACCTTGCTGGTGTCCCTCACACCCGACCCACAGCCTCTGCCTGCCCCCCCACCCTCCAGCTCCGCCAGAAAGACCCCCAGCTGCCCCCATCCCACTTGGGCCCAAGTGGAGTAACTGCGGTGGCTCTGGATCATGCTGGCAGCAGCGGAGAAAATCCGGCCCCAGCAGGGGCTGGAGGGAGAAGGAGGAGAGGCCTGTAGCCAGGCAGCCTGGTCATGGCCCCTTCAACCCCTCAAGCAGCATCTCTCAGCCGCCCTGCCCCCACGAGCATGGGCATCTGTCTCAGTGCCACCAGTCTGGCTATGCAGCTCTTCCCTGCCCCCTTCCCCTGCTGGAAGGAGCAGGCACCTTCCCTTCACCCTTCTGCCCAGCCACAGTTTCTGTGCTTTTCTGGGACTTGCTCATGACTCTTTGAAATATTCTTGCAATATTACTTTTGGGTCACAATTGAGAAACGCTGATCTAGTCCGACACCCTGCCTGAGCAGCCCTGTCCAAACCATCCTATACAACCGTCATCTAAACCAATGGTTTTCAGTCTGTGACCCGTGGCCTCTGCAGACTATGTCAAAGGGGTCCACAAAGGATGACCGTGATCAATCAACAGTATACATATACCCACACTTACCATTTAAAGGGGTCCACACCTCCATTTAGAATTTCCAAAGCGGTCCACAAATGAGAATAAAGGTTGAAAACCACTGATCTAAACTCGACATGAGACCACCCTCAACCCTCAGACAACACAAACCTAACACCCTCGTTTAATCTTTTCTTGGGACCTCCCCTCCCTTGCAAAATCAGCTGCAAAAGCAAGAGGCAGCTGTATCATAGAGGCTCACTCCCCTCCAAGCTGCATCACAAGTCTTGTGAAAAGGCCCTGAGTAGATTAGTTATTATCAGATGGGGGTTTCCCAGGCTTTTGGGCTTTGTTGGTTGCTCCCCTCCCCCTATTTCTGCACCATGTGTTGGAGTGTCTTGAAGCCTCCCTCAGAGGCATTGAGTGTTCATCCGTAAATCCTGTTGGGTAGTGGGATGCACGATCGCTCAGGTCCTGTTGGGTAGTGAGACACACAAGTGCTCAGGTCTGGGAATGCTCATTAACAAAACCTAGGGGTCTGCACAGCAGCAATAGCTTCTAAGTACAAAGAGTCCCTTGGCACCAGATGTTGGCTGCAGCCAAAGCTAGGGACTTGGACTGGGCTGTGCCAGTGCTCTTGCTGGGACCCAAGCTGGAGACGCCTGGCTAGAGGGTCTTGCCCCTTTGCTTAGGGTCAGACCGATCTCCATAGTTGGGGTAAGGAAAGAATTTTACCTCAGGGTCAGATTGGTGTGGACTGTGTGGGGCTGGGGGCCTGGTTGCCTTCCCCTGTATCTGGGATCTCTTGAGCATATATTGACAACCTTTTATAGAAGCAAGACATTGGCTGCCGTGGTTCTCCTGCTTTATCTGTGGAGGGTTAGGGTGTTAGGTTTGTCGTGTCAGGGTTGATGGTTGTCTTAGGTACAATTTAGATTATGGTTTGTATATGTGATGGACTAGCTGGTAGTAACTTAGCCCAGGGGTTTTGAAAGGGTAAAAGATGATTGGAGGACTTGGGATTCCCTTTCCTCACCAATCAGGCCTCAGAGACTCACCCTCCATGTCCCCTGATTGGCCCCTTGGGTCACCTGGAGGGGGATAAAAGGGGCAGCGGCTGACTCAGGGGAGAGACCACTGAGGGACCACAGGGAAGGAGTTTCAAAGAGCTGGGCTAGTGGGGTGGGAGCAGTTGCCCCACAAGAGCCTGAAGGAGTGGGGCCTGCAGGCAGCAGTTGGATCCGCAGCAGTGTGGTGTGTAGCCAGCAGGAGAGGCTTCCCCCTGGGCTCCAGGATCCCCTACAAGAGGGTGAGGCCAGCAGGAGAGGCTCTCTAGCTCCAACAAGGATCTGAGCAGGGAGCTGAGAGGTTCCCAGTTCTGTTTCCAGCTCCTTCAATAACAGACCCAGCAGCTGGACTTGAGGCAGGGGTTCCTGGAAGGTCAAGACCACTAGTAACTTAGCACAGTACCAGCACTGGTGGCTCTGTGGTAGAGTTTCTGCCTACTGTGTGGAAGACTAGAGTTTGTAAGTCCTAGCTGGGGTGAGTGAAGTAACAGGGAGAAATTCTTTTGCAGTGGAAAGGGGTCATTGTGTTTCTCCCCCTCCAGGTACCCAGGCCCTATATTCCTTGTTATTTGATACTTTGTATTTTGTGCCTTTTATATTTCACCAACCAGTATTGCTTGTTCTGCTGTTTGTGTTTCATTTTTTGTTAACCCTGTCTTGTCAACTGGATGAATATGTCTAGGATTGTAAGTGTCTAACTTTTGTTGAATCCTGCCCCCTTGGAGCATTGTAGTGTCCCCTATACCCTCTGGCTTATACCTGTTATGTTCCCACTACTGTTCTCTCATTAAAAGGTATATGGTTAAGTCCCCATTAGTGGTCTGGCTCTGCTCTATAGGGGAAGGAGAGTCCCTACACCTCCCACAGCACTTGTGCACCTGCTTTGATCCCTTCAATTGGAGAGGGGGTACCTCTTGGAGTACTGCCCGGGTTACATATGGGATGGTTTGAATAGGGCTGATCCTGCCTCAGACAGGGATTTGGACTTGGGTGGCCTCTGGAAGTACCTTCCAGCCCTACTTTTCTATGATTCTATGAATAACAATGTTTTAAACTACAATTCAAGATCCTTGGCAATACTGGGAAGAGAGGGAACCAGTGGCTCCCAAAGTCCACAAAGCCCTTGAAAGTAGTTCCTGGAGAACCAAAGTGAGTGGGACTGAGAAGTGGAGGGGTTGGGGCGGGGGAAGCTTTCTTCTGAAGTGGTTCACATGGAATAAAAGGTGTTGGTGAATGGCTGTAATGAAATGCTTGGAAGGTGGGATGATACAGACAACATAAAAACATACAAAGATAAGCACTGACCCTTTTTTAAGATGGGTCATGGAACTTGCAACACAGTTCCTCTTAATTTGTAATGCGAGTTGTGTAATTGAAACTCTTCATATATTTTGATACAGCTTAGTCTGGTGAAATAGAGAAGGAGAAGATGCTTACAGTCCAGAAAAAAGTGACCCTCACTGAAGCAATTTCAGTTTATCAAAAACAATATGCATCCATCAGTGATGTAATTAGGATCGGGCAACTGGGGCAAGCACTCTGGGTGTTGGGAAAAATTGCACTGGCAGCATGGCAACGGGAACATCACCACTGCTCTGTGTGTTGCAGCTGCCTTGGGGTTCCCACCTGTATTGTCACACCTCTGGCTTTCATAGAGTCCTACTGAAGACAATAGAGCTCTGCAAAGCACTCATTGCAGCATGACAGGTTAGAAGTAAGAGTGGAGGAAGAGACAAATATTTATATGGTGCCCAGTATTGGAACACACAGTACAAAAAAACACTGCAAGTATTCATTCAAGGAACATGTAATAATAGTGCTCATATTATTGTTAAATAGAGGCTAGAACCACAGCTTTAAATTGGACAAATATAATTGTATTGATCTGCAGTATCTAGTCTCT